TGCAACTTGCACTTGCCCTAGGGGCTCATGCAATTTTGTTGTCTTCAAAAAATTTATTTGTGCTTATTAAAACCAAATGGCACCCAAAATCATGTTATTACCTATACTATAACATGATAATCTAATTTTATGTATTTTGATGCCCTTATAAAATAAAATGGCATAGTGGTGGAAAGACAACAAAATGTATTTTAAATTTTTATTAAATATTTTAATAACACTGGATGAGTTACCTCCAGACCTCTGTATTTGAGTTGGTTGATTGCCCCTCTAGATTGGTGAAGCTCTACACCATCACGCAGTTCCTGCAACCACATCCACATAAATTTGTAACTTGAAAAGTGTCTCTTACTGAATATCCATTGTGACTTCAATTCTGAGATAAAAATTTTACTTGCAACTTCAAATCCTTCTAGGCAAGTTGAAGAGTACAATCATGTAAACTGAATTAAATTGAAAGCCATCACAGAAAAATCTATAATTTAGATATATTCACAGTCATATATTCATCAGAATAAATGTACACATTTGAGGCAAAGCAATGAATAAAACCTGATTAGAAACAAAACAAATCATGTACTGGTACTGTTCACTGAGTCCATGAACTTGAATGTTAGGCCACATTCAATAGCCTATTGCTTCAAAGGTGGCCACCCTCTAATAAGCGCCCTACCCTAAATAAGTACCCACCCTCCTTGGCCAAAATGTCAACCAGGCACCCCTCACAAATAAACAACCCCTCCTCCCTCCCTTTCTTAAATAGTAAGGATACAAGGAAAACCTGTTTCTCTTGCCACTTTATGTACAACTTTTTACACTTCTACTACAAAAAAATAAGTATAGGAGATAAGTTTCTTCTCCATTCCAGTTCTACCTATCTCCTTGTGCCTGCAGAGTTCCTTTATGTGCATCATCCATTCTTTTCATTTTTTTTCTTATGCTTGTGGTAACCTCATAATCACCCCTCAATAAGGTGCCCTCCTTCTTATAAGCACCCATCAATGAAGTGCCCTCCTTCTAATAAGCACCCCTCAATGAAGTGCCCTTCTTTTAATAAGTACCCCTCAATGAAGTGCCCTTCTTCTGATAAGCACCCTTCAATGAAGTGCCCTCCTTCTAATAAGCATCCCTCAATGAAGTGCCCTTCTTCTAATAAGCACCCCTCTCCTTCAAACAAATACCCCTCAATGAAGTGCCCTCCTTCTAATAAACACCCCTTAATGAAGTGCCCTCCCTCTAATAAGCACCCCTCAATTAAGTGCCCTCCTTCTAACAAGCACCCCTCCCAATAGGAGAATTTTTAAATAAGTGCCCAGGGGCTTATTCAAGGAAATAATATATAATGTAATGAATAAAAAGACATGTGACTTATTTGATTATGGTCATAAAACCTTTCAGTGTTTTAGTATTTCTAATACTGGTTTTTACCTTTGCATAATGAATTCCAAATCTATAAAAATCAGCTATCTCCTGAACACAGTCTATATCAGCCTCAAATGCAGTTTTAGCCTGAAAGAATCATATTTTCATTATTGATTGAAAATAAACATTATTAATGCATGTCATCTGTCATACATTTACTATAACTTAACCATCACTAACCTGAACCCTCAATAACTCACACCTCCCTCTAATTCAAAGCAATTTTTATTCCTATCAGGTCATATATTTTTAACCCTTGATAACTCAAACCCTGTCGAGCTAAATCTGTCAATATGTGACAAATGGAAACAAACAATGTACTGCAGTCCAAAGCAATTAATATATTTTAAAGCATCCAACTAGTCATTGTCCTTTTTTTGCATTACACGAAACTTGTCATTCTAGTACTTAAGGCACATTTAACCCTTTAACTCCCAGAAGTGATTAACATAAAAATTCTCCCTACAATATCCATACATTCTTCAGCAAACATGTAATGAGAATATTCAAACTTATCAGGTAGAAGCTGCTATCTTGATCTAGCACCAAGTTCTCATAACCAATTTACAAGGAAATGTGTAGCAGCTGCACGAGGAGAATTAATACTTAGATCTTGGGAGTTAAGGGTTAACTAACAGTACTTCACAAGGACTTGCTGCTTAACTCCACCTTCTGATGTATACTGCATGAATAGAAAAAAGTGAATGTCTTTTCTCTTATTTCAGGTCTTTTTTGTTTTCAACTCCTGATAATTCAAAACTCCCAATAACTTGAACCTTTTTCAATTTCCCTTTACCATAATATCAGTATGCATATTCTCCACACTTTTCTATATACATTTCCTAAGGTACTGTCCAGGAGAATTTGTTTAACAATCACAACTTTCTCTGGCTGGTCATCATTTCCTTTATTCTCATGACCTTAACGTGTGATTCAGGGGTGCTAGTATGAGAATTTAGATGTTGATCACTCTTAGAGGTCAAAGGGTTAAAGGTTAGAGTTATCCTGAGATGACTGTAGTCTACCTAGGACTCAACACACCTGTCCCACCATGGTGACAGCTAGTGATGGGATTCTGTATTTTCCCGTAATCAAATCTGCAACCTTGTGAAAGATGGCTGCCCTGAAAAACAAAAAAGAATGATGCCATTGAGACAAACTGCCCATGTTCAATTAAATGGTTTAAACCTCAAAGACCTCACCGGTGTTCAAGAGGTGTACGTTCCCAATCCTTTCTTGCAGCCATGGCACTGTCAATGGCCTCCTTTATCACTTCCTACAACCATACATATAAACAATAAATCATTTAATTACGATGTGTCCAGACTTCGAAGGTTTATTTGGATCCAACATTATGACCAGCTCTCAGTTGGCTTGTTAGTTCAGTTGGTAGAGCACTGCACTGGTATCGCAGAGGTCATGGGTTCAAATCTTGTACGGGCCTGAATTTTTTTCAGGTCCTATTTTCAACTACTCATTTCAGTAGTGTTCTTAGCTGCAAGGATCTCTTAATTTCATTTTTTCACCACAGTGCAAATATATGAATTTCATATATCTAAAATCATTATTCATCATTTGGATGGTTTATTTGGATCCAACATAATGACCAGCTCCTAGTCAGCTTGTTAGCTCAGTTGGTAGAGCACTGCACCGATATCGCAGAGGTCATGGGTTCAAATCCCATATGGGCCTGAATTTTTTTTAGGTCTTATTTCAACTACTGGTTCAGAAGTGTTTACAACTGCAAGGATCGATGCTATAATTGTTTCTTCAACCACAGTGCACATGTATGATTTATATTTTCTAGTATTTCGAATAAATAACTTATTACAAACAAAAAGAAAACAATTACCTCAGTTGCCATGTGAAATTTGGCAATCTTCAGAGAGTGGTTGTAGGGCTACAAAGGAAATAAACAGAGAAAACCAAGCTAAGGATACAGATTCATTTTATTAAGATATGTAAAATAATTCTTTCAAGTTTTGCTACCAGTAAGGGGGCTAGCACAAGATGTTCAAATGATCCTGTAACATACCACCACTTGGTATCCTGTGTTTCCAGTATAGATTTCCTTTCCACCAACAACACATGGAATTTCCAGGCATTCACCATGAATTCTCTGGATTTCTGCTTTCAACTCTTTAAGGTCAGTGCTGCCTGGGTTCAAGTTCGTTGCTGGTTCATTGGGAGGCAGAGAAACTACACTTCTAGTACCAAGGATTCTGGTAAATAATAAGAAATAATTACAATTAAAAATATAACAGTTCAATGACACAATGGTGATGAACAGACCATTGCTGTTTGTAAATAAGGTTATTCAGCTAGTGTGCTAATTATTGCTGAGCTACTATCTAGAATAATTTTGGAACAGGAAGCTGGAAACAAGAAAAAACTTTTCTACACCCTCTACAGGATAAAAGATCCTGATGAGGAACTTCAACTTTGTGGATAATCTCCCACCTTATTGTCACTTAGAGTCCCACCCAGCCGAAAGTTTCAGCTGTCAAATTTATCAGTGTTGATAAAAACTTCCGAAAGGGAAAAAAATTACCTGTTGTTAATGATGTGACTAGGAAATATTTAAGACATAATACTAAAAATAAAAGTCTGTTCGTCTGCTTTCCATTTTTAGAACTGCGATTTTATTTTAAATTGAGAAGACCTACTAATTCATAATAATTATGATTATTTCACAATCGGTACACCCAAACAATGAAAAGAAGATTTTTTTTTCATATCAAAAGTAATAAATCTTTTTTAACATAAGTTTGCTTTTTACAAGGTCATCATCACTTTTAGTTCTCTCTGACCTGCGTGTTCCAACAAAGTTCACAAAATTTCCATGACATCAATCGGTATTTTGTTTTGTTATTGCTAAGGCGTAGAGAGGAAGCGTTTTCATTCTTGGTCAGCCTCCAAAAGTTCTCTATTGTACATAACGCTCGTGATCAAAAGAGCGGAAATGACCAAGCGTTTCAGCCGCAAATTCTTTCGCCTGTTTAGCGTTGTAGAAGAAATAAACGATCTCAAGCTCTACGAATGTGGATGCTCTGCCAAAGCATGTTATAAATAGGATATTTCATATGCAATGTCGTGGACCCAAGTGTATTAAATAGCTAAATATATCCCTTTTCCCCCTTAATTAGCTTAAAAACCTCCGCAAGTTGCATAAGCTATTTAAGAAGACTCTATCCTAAAAAAAATAGAGGATTTTCATTCATTCACCAATCCCTGCGAACAGGGATCGATTGCGTTGCGTAAGATTGTAACAATTTACGGGAACAAACATGACTTCGTTGGTAAAACCTTCAGCATTATAAATACTTCTGCCGCATGAAGGGCACACGAAACGAAAGAAGCATACCTCAGGCCTTGACTTCTGACAACCGATCGCGCAACCAGCATGATTAAAAACTATGAAAACAGCGCAGAGAAGTGAAACAGAATTACGAACATCTTCAATTTCAGTCCGTTAAGACACACGTTATTCTCCAAATATGGTAAATTTGTGGGCGTGTGTGCAGTACTATCCAATTAACTTAACTTCGAGATGAATCATCTTAGTAGCCCGCAATTTCAAAAGAGAGATCCAGCGGAACAATTTCAAAATGGCGGAATCAGAGGAAACCGAAGAAGTAGTGGATCATTATGCAGTTTTAAACGTCCGTAGAGAGGTAAAAATTAACTTAGCCAAATTATTGATGCGGCAACTATGTTATCTTGCTAATGATGTACTTTGAATTGAATTTCAGGCCAATGAAAGTGAAATCAAAGCAGCTTACAGGCGCATGTGTGTGTTATATCATCCGGATAAGCATACTGATCCCGCCAAGAAAAAAGTAAGCTTGTTAAATAACTCTTCGGTTCGCCAGAATTTTGTTTTGTAATTTTATATGAAGATTTATCTTAGTATTAAAATATGCGATTCTCAACATAGGCCAAAATACTGATGTTTAGCAACCAAAACATCAGAAATGTACTTGTCCTTGAATATTGCATGTGACCATAATGCTTGCCAAAGGGGGATGCCTTGACATCCTGAAATAGGGTAGCCCGGTTAGTTGGCCATATGAGAACTCTACACATATGAGAAATTTTAGCCTTTTAATTGGCGGAGATCTAAGCAAGATCTCAAGTCGCATAGGAAATGTACGCTCAGTTACTAGGCGAATATGATGCAATCTCAGTAACCAGGCTGTGGACTCAAGGTGAACAGGTCTGTGAAAGAAACTTAATCCTATTTTAAATTTTGTAGGCTTTTTCCTCTAGAGGAAAATATACTGTATGAGGTAAACACTCATATTTTTGACGCTGGGCATCAGTTCAGAAAGAATGTTCACTGTGACTTGTGGCTTGGCTCCCTGTC